TCGCTGGCCTGGGTCCCACTGCAGAGGCTAGGCTGGCCAACCATCCCTGGAGCCCTTCTTGCTGTCTGCCCAGGATTCCGTGTTACTGACTCTTCCCCCACATCCAGCTTTTCGCACGTGGGATCGGGGATCAAACCCAGGTCCTTCTGCCTGCAAAGCAAGCCCTCTTAAGGACTGAAGCATGCCCCAGCCCCGTGGACTGAGGGGCCTAGGCCATTGCAGGGTGACAATCAGATCTCCATGCCCTTCCTGCTCTGTAGACCTGGGATCACCCTGGGACTCAACAGGTACTGGGCTCTCATGCCTTGATCAGAGGGTCTCCTTCCAGGTCTCAGTTCTGCTTTAATCTTGCCTCGGGTTTGAGGCCTGGGATTGGGGTGAATGGAAACAACTTGTAAGTCTGTATCCCCAACCCACCCTTCACCCCACTTTGTGCTTTCTGCTTCACAGAAGGGAACAGCAATTCTCCTACATGGTGTATGCTGTAGTTTTGTTTTGTTTGTTTTCTTGTTGGGTTTTTATTTTTTCAGGACAGGGTTCCCTGTGTAACAGCCCTGGCTCTCCTGGAACTTGCATTGTAGATGAGGCTGGCCCGGAACACTCACTCCCCACCCCCTGGATTAAAGGCACAAGCTACCCTGGCCTTTGGTTGTGTCTTGAGCCTTAATAAGTTACCCAGGCTGGCCTGCAAATCATAAGCATCTTGCCTCAGCCTCCAGAGTAGCTAGATTACATGCACATATGCCAATGTGAGGCTTTTTTCTTTAAACAAATATTTATTTCAGGCTGGGTGTGGTGTATGTCTTTACCCCCAGCATTTGGAGGCAGAGGCAGGTGGATCACTATGAGTTTGAGGCCAGCCTGACCTTCATAGCAAGTTCCAGGACATAGAGAGACCTTGTCTCAAATAAATAAACAAATCAATTAGTTAATAATTAATTGATGTCTCTATGTATGTACCTGAGTATAAGTGCAACACAGGCATGTAGCATGTATGTTCATGTGTGAACATGTATATGGAGGCCAGAGGGTGACTTTACAGACCTTCCTGAGTTCCTCCCCACTGTATTTTCTGAGATGAGTTTCTCACTGAACCTGGAGTTTGCTAATTTGGTGCGACCAACTGGCCCTGGGAGCCTGTCTCTGCCCACGTGCTCTGGCTTGAGTTTTGGGAACTCAGGTTGGCATGCTTTACCAACTGAGCCATCTCCTCGCCCCTTGCACGGCAACTCTTTAAACCTGTGGTTTTGTTCAGGTTGGGCTGTGACTGCAGGGGACAGTGGGTACGCCATCTGCCTGTTTTTCTCTTCCCACACCTGGCCAGGAACCAGGGCATTTCCCTGTGTGTTTGTTTTGCTTTGAATCCACTGTTGTTGGAAGTCACTTTCATGATTATTTTTGTAAACAAAGTAGTGTATTCTTGATTTTTTAAAATCTGATTTTGAACTTTGGCTGAGAAAAAAAAATTATACTGTGGTGCTCAAGAAGAATGTGCTCGGCACACCACTGGGTAGAGGTTGTGGTCACATGGGCATGACGAGGTAACAAGCTTAGTCTTTAAATAACGGACTTATTCCTATGAGACACCTTTTTTCCTCCCTTCCTTCTTCCTTCCTTCCTTCCTTCTTCCTTTCCTTATTTCCTTCTTCCCTCCCTCCCTCCCTTCCTTCCTTCCTTCACTTCCCTCCTGAGACAGGGCCTCACCGAGTATCTCTACTTGGAACTCACTATGTAGACCAGGCTGGCCTTGAACTCATAGATATCCACTGCCCTCAGCCTCCTGAGTGTTGGAATTAGGGCTGATCACCAGCATGCCTGGCTACAAGTGGTTTGTATAAGTGCAGATTTGGGGGAACAGAACTGAGCTCACTGTACTTGCGTGGCAAGCCCTCTCCACACCGAGCCGTCTCCCTAGCCCCTAGGATTCCTTTGGAAGGGTCCCTGCAGCAGAGGAGGATTGTGAGCACCTGTCCTTCCAGAACATGGGAGGCAGAGACAGGAGGATGAGGAGTTCAAGGCCATCTCTGCTGCGTGGGGAGCTGAGGTCAGCCTGGCCACCCCGAGGAAAGAAGGAAGAGCCCCTCCAGCTGGTGGGGAGACCCTCTCACCACGACCTCGGTGAGCTTCTGGGACTTTGGGGAGCCTCAGCCCAGCAGGGAGCCCCCATCCGTGTGCAGGGTCCACCTGGCAGCAGGACAGTGCAAAGAGCTAAAGGAACAGAGCGAATGGCAGGGAGGTGGCAGGCAGCCGGCAGGGGAGGGACAGCAGCTTGCAGTGACTGAGCTAGCCCTTCCTAGCTCAGTCTTGTAACAATGATGGCCGGGAAACCACAGCGCTGAGAATGATGGGCTGGAATAAGCCTCAAGTTTTCAGACATGCCTGGAAGAAAGCTGTTATCTCCGAATCCTGCAGTAGCTGTGATGAGCAGAGGTGTCCCTCAGGGACACGTGAGGGATGGTGTCTAGAGATGGCAGGTGATGGGTGAGTCGGGCTAGCGTATGGGTGGGTTAGGGACAACTCCTTAACACTCCTTTCTACAAGAGCGACCTGCTCTTGCCCACGGTGACTTCATCACGCCCTGGGGTGCACGCCCCTTCCTCGTCCCTTCCAGACCCCCCGGCAAAGGGCCCTCTGGGGGAGGCAGGCCTACCGTGCTAGGTTCTGAGCTGTGGGCACGCTGCATGGCCTGCCCAGCTGTGGCCCCTGGGCCACCTGAGGGCTGTGTAACATATCTGTGTGTTCACTAAGCCACGCTGAAGGCTGCCTGTCCTGGCAACAGCCTCCGTGTCATTTGCCTCTTATACTTCAGGGAAAGTGCAGAATGGGGGCAAGTTAGCCTGGCCGCCTGGAGCAGGCGCCGTGAGGAGCTGAGGCAGGCAGACCCGGGAGAAGTATGCATGCGCACCGGGCACGCACTGGACTGTGTTAACAGGTGTGTCAGGACCGTGCCGAGTCTCTAGGCGGATCAGCTGTCTCTGGGCCAGGGTCACACCCAATGACAGGGCAGCCCTGTGAGTCATCTGTGTGCCTGTGCAGAGAGGTCCAGTCAGGTGCTCTGCTCGCAACCCGTGCTGGCCATGTCCTTGGGCATCCAGGAAGGCAAGCCTTGCACCGTGTCCTGGGTGACAAGGGGTCATGGCCTTGTCATCCGACAGTTTGCGAACCACTGGGCAGAGGCTTTTCTTTCTGTTAGGAAACGTACGGCTGTGAAGGTTACACGACGGGTTCACAAATCACACCACGAGACCGGTTCCATGTGGGAGGTTTATTAGGGGAAGGGAAAGGGGGTCTCAGAGAGACGAGGTGGAAGAGAAAGAGAGAGAGGAGGGGCTCCAGGAGTTCTCTTATAAGGTGATCCAGGGCATGCGCAGGTGGTTCCAGGTGATCAGCGGGTGGTCTTCTTGGTGGCTTCACAAATGCCTGATAACTGGTTTGTCAGGCCCCTTGGGGCTGGCCATAGAGATGCCTGCTTACTGATCCCAACACTTTCACCATGGGCCGACCCCAGGGAACCCCAGAAGGCGGGCGTCACTGTGTGCTCAGAGCTCCTTTGGTCTTTCTGTGGTTGTTCCTGGCACGAGGAGCCGGGTACTGAGGCCTTTCTCCCGGTGGTGAATTGGTGGCGGGGCAGGAGACCTGTTTGTATGAGCCTCCTCTTGGATAGTTTCAGCCAGCACAGGGGTGAGTCTCGGAAGGTGCGGCTTCGTCAAAGCTGAATCTGGGAGCAGCCGGGTGTACTTGGGTTTGTCAGGGCCCACGTGGCAGAGGCTGGAACCCGGGAGCCATGCTTAGGAAGGATTTGGCCAGAACATCCTCATGAAAACAGCCCATGGAGCTGTTCTGTCTTTTGATGCTATAACTAAGTGGCTCAGGCCGGCCTCCTCTCACAGTCCTGTGAGCCGAGGGCCGGGATGGCAGCCATGCCCTACCATGCCTGAGCTGCTCGCCTGTCCAGGCCGCAGGGTGTGGGCTCGCTAAAGCACGGTAGCAGGTCTGTGGACATGTGGGTGCTCACACCTCATGCAGAGGGCTCTGCAGGATGACATGGACAGGTTCTGACTTTGTGTGACAGGGTCGCATCTGACTGAAATCCCGTAGGTAGCACTGGCGGGCTGCCCTCGAGAGCCTGAGGTTAGCGTCCCAGGGCTGGTCCTTACTGGAACCCTTCTCTTGCCCTGGGCGTGTGGGCGGTAGCTTTCATCTGCCTGACCACACAGGTAGCGGCGTGCAGTGAGCAAGCAGTGCTTTCTCAAGCCCCAGTGTGGTTCTTGTCCTGTTACAAGTTCAGGTTGCGGGTTCCTCGGCACGCCTGAGCGCCACCTCTCTCCTAGGTCTGGGGTTGATGGAAGCCATGCTTTTCTGGACCTGGCTGCTTCTCGTCATAGGAAGGGAGGGTGACACACACACACACACACACACACACACTCCCTGTCCCTGACACTTGTTTTCAGAAGGTGGTGTGAGGACACATCTTCAGTCTCTTCACAGTTCTCTTCACAGTGTCTTCACATGAACTCCGCCATGCCTGGAAAGCCCCGAGCAGGTGGGGTTGCTACAGGGTAGCATGTCACTGAGCACTGAGATCCTGTCTCTGGCCAGGGCAGGCAGACTGTGGGGGCCAGGGCTGCCAGGAAGTCATGTGGCCTCTTCTCTTCTCTGGGTGTGGGGAGAAGCAATGTCCCGTGGACTTGGCATCCACGGTGAAGCCAGCTGAGGGGCTCAGAGTGTGAACTGTGGGCTTCACAGCGTGTCTGGAGCACCAGAGCAAATTCAGGCTGGGCCATAGCCCCACAGGATCGGGCTCACCCCCTCAGGTCTGAGGTGTGGCATAACAGAGTGGAGGAATGTGTCTACCTGGAAGTCCTGCGCAGCCCGCCGACACGGCCGTGAGCCTTTCTGAGGGAAGGAATGTGCTAGCCTAGGCGGCTGGCTGGCTGGGTGTTCGGCTACAACGAAATTCCAGTGCTGACTTGGTTTCTGCCTCCCTCCCTTCCCTCCAGGTTGGCCTCCGACAGCTGGACATGTCCTTGCTCTGCCAACTGTACGGCCTCTACGAGTCCATCCAGGAGTACAAGGGCGCGTGCCAGGCCACCTCCAGCCTGGACTGTCCCTACGCCCTGGAGAACGGCTTCTTCGATGAGGAGGAGGACTTCCAGGAGCAGGGCTCTCTCCCCGACGGCCAGGGCCGAGGCTGTCCCCGGGACCTGTCACTGCCTGTCGCCCACCTCTCCAGCAGTGACTGGGTCCTGGAGTCCATCTAGCGCCTTGGGAGGAGTCCACTGACACACACGGACGGGCAGCATCTGTGTCTCTTCCTGCAAGAAGGCGCTTCGGCCTCTTTGCGGTGGACAGTCCAGGGCATGTGGGGACACGTGCCATTTGTTTACCTAGCGGGTTTGGAGCTCAGGGACACGGGACAGCCTGCTCAGTTGTCTGCAGGGTCTTCCGGGCGTCCCAGGGGCATGCTAGAATATCCTTGATGCTTCTTGTAGCCCCTGCTGGAAGCTCTGACAACAACGGCTTCCAGGTGCACAGCCTTCGCGGCATTTTGGGTGAGTGCTCTCAGCTTCTTTGTCGGTGGCAGGTGTGTCATATTCTCTTGGATTAGGAAGGCCACTGTCTCCCTGGCCCGGAACCCCCAAGGCGGCCTGCGTCTTTTCTTGCTCTTACTGAGCTGTCAGCCTCTTTGCACTGATGAAAGCTGATCACGGATTTTCCAGGGCACTCGGGAGAGCTTTCTAGAAGGAGACAGTCTGCCACTCCGGTCAGCCCTTTTCTGCAACTACCAAAACTGACCTTGGGCGCAGGTGGAGGGGAGACCACCGATGAATGGACAGTGGAGAGAGAAGAGAAACCGTGGACAAGCTAACGCTTGTGCCGCTCACCATGAGGTGGTGACCGTGCGTGGGTAGACTGACTGTGAACGCCAGTGTTGGGAACGATGCTTCCGAGCAGGGTCGCCTGAAGCCCTAACGTATTTATTAGAACCCTTTCTCAGGACTTCACTCTGGGTTAAACACGGATGCGATGATCAGCTGTCTCTTGCCGTGTGTCATTTTTTTCGCAGGTCTAGGATGGGCTCACTGGGTCCAGAGAGTCCCTGGCATGGATGAGGCCTGGGCTTTGGCCTTTACTTATCCTGTCAACTGGGCATGGTGGTGTATGCCTGTAATACCAGAACTGAGGAGATCCAGGCAGGAGGATCAGAAGTTCAGGGCCACCCTTGGCAACTCAGAGTCCAAGGCCATTCTGGGCTTCCCTTTCTCAAACAAAAAAAAAACCCCTGAGCTCAGACTTACAGCCTGAACGTGGGTCCAATCTAACACACATTAAAAGAAATTTAGGATTCTCTGGCCATTAAATGAATTTTAAGACAGATTTATCTCTGTCAGGCTTGGACGGCCATTTCATTGGCACCAGGCTGCATTACAGCAAGATTTCACCTTGTGCCTTGGAGCACACCCAGTTCCTTGTTCCACTTTCAGGGGACATGGCTGCTCATCAGTGCCCTTTGGCGGCCAAACAGAGGAAGTGCAGGTTAGCAAATACAACTATGTGTGAACTTTCCCTGGGCGCCTACAAGTCTGTACTCACCCCAGGCAGGGAACCAGTGACCAGCCAAAGCAAGGATTACAGAAGTCCAACCTGGCAAACTAATACGCTTACTCCTGTCACTTAGCGGAGTGTGAGTGACTCCCAAACAGCTGCAGCATCCAAAGGTCCTTCTCCAGGGCGGCTCGTGTCTGCCCCCACGGCTGTGCCCGCCCGAAGCTAACCTCACTAGACAGGGCTGGGACAGAGTTCCACATAGCTGGGATGGCTTTATAGGAAGGCGTGCTAACTCAGGGGAGGGTATTGGACCTTCCTGCGAAGGGCTGGCACCAGGCTGACCTTGAGGGTGGGTCTCTTGGGTAGATGGCTGCTTTCATCGATATGGTAATGGCTGTTGTGCCTGGAGGACAGTGTGCTCCTCCAAGCTGTTTCTGCTGAGTGTTTTTTCACTGCAACAGAAAGCAGTCTGGGACAGGTAGGCTACATTCAGTTACACAGCCACCTGAGTGTTAACCTGTCTGTGCTATAAGGAGCTGGATTAGCCAGAGAAGTGGCCCTGTCGGTAGTCAGAGGGAAGGGGGTTGGTGACAGGACCGTCCAGACAGGACAAGACAGTGAACACAGGAAATCAGTCACCTGCAGGGCGCTGCTTTGAGGCCAAGGCCTGCATAACCGAGGAAAACCCGAGGTCAGCTTGTCTCAGCCCTGGCTGCATTAGGGTCACTTGGGGAGCTTTGGGGGAGCTCCAGCAGCAGTGCCCACCCCAGATCTGGATCTGATTAATAAGTGATGCTGGAGGGCCTGGGCCTGCCTGCAGAGGGGCGGTACAGGTCAGGAAAGGCATGTCCCTCCCACCATGCACCTTTATTGTAAACAGCCTAGCATTATCTATGATCACTTTTATTCCCCCGATAGCTGCCTTATAAAAATTCACATGACACAATAAAACTGACTGATTGATTTACTTTTTTTTTAGTTTTTTATTTTTATTTTTTATTGTGTGTGTGTGTGTGTGTGTGTGTGTGTGTGTAGTCCTTGCTGTCCCTTGCTCTGTAAACCATGCTGTCCTCGGAACTCAAAGAGATCTGCCTGCCTCTCCCTCCCCAAGTGCTGGGATTTAGGCATGCGCCAGTACCACCTGGCTCTAAAATTGCCTTTTAATGCAGGTTTGGTTTTTGTTTTTTAAGTGGGTTCACAAACAGGACAAAGGCTGGCAGATAAAATGAACCTAGACTTTGGAAAACAGCCACACTGTGGGGAAGACAAGGCGTCCTGCTTGTCTGAGGGTGCTCAAGGCAGCTCTGACCTTGACTCCAAGCCAAGCTGAGGGCTGCAGGTCAGGCGCTTGCCTGTTTCCTGCCACGTTCATCCTCACAAGTTGACTTCTGCCAAGTGTAGAGGACAGCTGGCAGTGGAAACGTTTTACTTCTTTCCTTGCTTGGGATTTTGAACAGCCTTACTCACTCTAGCCCAGGCTAGCCTTAGACAGTCTTACTCACTCTAGCCCAGGCTAGCCTTAGACTCCTGGAAGTCCTCCTGCCTCATTATCTGCCCCTTGGTCAGAACGGAGTACACCACAGCTGTTGGCCTCACAGCTCACCGGATGTGGTTTTTGGAGAGCTTCTTGCATTGCCCTTACAGCCATGGGCGAGAGCCCCACTGTGGCAGTGGGCACAGCTAGTGATGTGAGGATTTTGCAATGGATGGAGACAGCTTCGCACAGGGGTCTAAGGGAGAACGTTAAGCGTCTGTATCTGAAGCCTGTGTGGAGAGGCCTTGTAGAGCTGAGCAGTGGCCTTAGGCTGGAATTACTCTGGGTCACCTAGGTGGATAATGCTGCCTGTGGTCCTCTCAAGGGCAGAGGGACACTTGACTGGATGGAGACAACAGGGATGCTGGCCAGTGACAAGCCAGGAAGAACGCACGGCAGTGTCCCTCCTAGCATCTCCAGGGGCCGCACAACTTGGGCCACACAGGAGGAACCTGCATCTAGGCTCCCTGCCTGCCTCCCCATGCATGCATGAGCATGAACTAAGTCTCCTAGCTGCAGGCCAGGAGCAGTTTAGCTTTAAGCTACATGCACTTCCCTTCACGGCATGTTTCTCACTGTACAATGAGGGCCGTGGCTAGGCACCAGCGACTGTTACCTCCATCAAGGGTCCCAGCAAAATGCTCACTTCCTTTCATCACTGCTTCCCTCAGACACAGACTCATACTAAAACCTGGTTTTAGTCTTGCGAGTTCTCTACTTATCAAAACTCCTTCGGGCCTCCCTTCCTGGCACTGTATTTGGAGGTCAGTAAATTATTCTGTCTTAACAAAGAGATACAGATCCCCAGAGACTGGCCACTAGGCTACAGATGGACAGAGGCTGTCCATCAGACCAAGAACAAGGGGACTCAGTCCTGTCACTTGACCTTAAGCGCTCCCAGTAACCATTTTGTGGCTTCGACTAAGTTACTGCTAAGCTTCCTGATGAATTCGGCCTTGCAAATATCTACACATCTACCTTTTTGACTCCCATGTACTACGCTGTCTACCAGCATGGTCCGAGGGCTCCAGACCTTGGTGACAGAGGCATCTGCCCTCTGCCCATGGGCGTGCTGTCTGCAGCACTGGTGAGCAGCCTGGTCTCTCTTGGCACTGAAAACAAGAGTTGGCAGTTGGCTCTGAGAGCACTTAAGGTTTCTTCCTCGAGGTCATTCTATAGGCCTGGGCTGACTTCAAACTCTGCATCCTCCTGCCTTAGCCTCCTGAGTGCTGGGGTTTGTCACTGCAGTCGTGAGGCAGGTTTTCAACCACTGCTGGGGTGCATGTACTTTTCTTTTTCTTTCAAGTAATAGTATGTGTGTGTGTTTTTCCAAGGACAACTTGCAGCTGCTAGTTTTCTCCTTGCAACATGTGGGTGTTGGGGATCACATTCAGTTGGTCAGGCTCTTCAGCAGAAACCTTCACCCTCTGAGCCATCTCAACAAATGTTTGTTTTAAAAAACTATGTGCAAGTCCCCATGCCCCACCCAGGACTGCAAAAACAAAACAAAAAATAAAACCAAGCACCAACTCAAACAAACGATCAGAGCAAAATGAAATCAGCTGTCTTCTAGGAGCAGGTGTGCATGTTTACTAAGGTGTCCAACATATTTGTCTTTCAAGGTTTTCACTAAAAATGCTCAAAACTGCTGGGGACTGTTAGCTGACAACACAGACAAACCTCTGTGTTTGAGTGGGGAAACCCTCTCCTTACATGCCATTCCATTGGTAGCTGGCTGGTCTTAACATTTTTTCACTCTTAAGTGATGGATCAGTTCGAGTTCGAGGCCAGCCTGGTCTACTAGTCTACAAAGTGAGTCCAGGAGAAACCCTCTCATTAAGCCAAAACCAAATAAACAAACAAAAAACTGAGTAGACTGCTCTGACCTTTCTGCAGAAGACTGCAGGGCCTCACCCATGGGAGGCAGTGTCTTGTACTAAGCTACCCAGCCCTGTTTACTGAGAGAGGGTCTTCCTAAGTCTCGCAGCCTGACCTTGACCTCACTGTGCTGCCGAGACTGCCTGGCCTCAGCCTGGAGCAGCTGGGAGTACAGTGAGCACCAGAACAGCCGGCTCCGATTGCTTGCTTAAAGCTCTTTGAGCGCTACGCTCAGCTACTCAGAAGACTGAGGCAGGAGAACACGCTGGGCCAGGGCTCTGAAGACTGGTATGGATGAGACTGAAACCTTGTCTGAAATAGAAGGGGCATTAGACAGGGACAGGCTACCGTTGGACCCACTTCCAGCAACAGCTTTACGGGGATAGAATTCACCTCTAGGTTGTGACATTTAGGGATTTTTATGACTTTGGTGGCTGGAATGAGAATGGCCCTCACAGGAATATATGTATATGAGTTCTTCCAGATGGGGTTTCTCTGTCTCACAGCCCTAGCTGTTCTGAAACTTGCTCTCTAGATGAGGCCAGCCTTAAACGCACGGATGAGAGACATGCCTACCTCTGCCTCCTGAGGGCTGGGATTAAAGGCTGAGCCACCATGGATTAGGCCCATATATGTGAACACCTGGTTCCCAGTAGGTGGAACTATGTGTGAAGGATTAGGAGGTAACCTTGTTGGAGGGAGTGTATCACTGGGAGTGGGCTTTGATGTTTCCAAAGACTCCTGCGATTTCCAGTGCTCACTGTGCCTCAAGCTTGTGAATCAAGATGTGAGCTCTCAGCTGTTCGTTCTAACCCTCTGAAACTATAAGCCAAATTAAACAGTTTCTTTTATACAGTACCCTAGTTGTGGTGCTTTATCACAACATTAGAGAAACAACTAAGACACTTATCTTGGTTATCTCAGACAATTCAAAAGATGATCTTAGTTACTGAATCAGAAATGTATAAAAAACTTGATTTATTCTGAAAGACTACTTAAAAGTGTTTCTCTCAGCAAAACACAAAACACGGTTTAAAACCAGCAATGTAACACTTAGACTTAAAGGACATAAGACAGGCCAACGTGAACCCTTTCATTCCTGGGACCACAGTGCCTGTCTGGGTGTGATTGTAGTGCTCCTTGCCTTGTGTCTGGCTGGTTCAGATCTTCCTTGGGTGTCTGGGTATGCTCAGGAATTGCAGCCCTGACTTCACTCACAGAAAGCGGGAACCTTGGTCGCTCTGCGCCTTCTCTTTTGAGGTAGACAGTCCCGCCATAGAGAGTGCAGAATAAAGCTGTGGAGAAGAGAGGGACACTTTGTAGGCCTGTTCTGATCTCCATAAAAGACCTGTTCCCAAGGCTGGCTGGGAGCCATGGAGGGCACAGGAGCCTGATGCAGGGTCTCTCCCTGGTGTAATTTCAAGCAGACTGAGACAGAACAAAACACAAGAAAGCAGGCCACTGGCTCTGCTGCAGGGAGAATATCTTTCCTATTTTATGGATACATTGTCTGTCAATTAAAAAAACCTATGGCCTATAGGAATAGGTAGAATAGAAAGCGGCACATCTGGCAGGCAGAAAGAATTCTGGGTTAGAGCTAGAGGTGGGTGAGTTCCCTGGGAAGATATAAGGAGGTCAGTCACATGATATCTGAGCAGAGGTAACCAGCCATGTGGTAGAATGTAGATTAGTATAAATGTGTTGTTTTAAATTATGAGCTAGTGGAGAAGAGCCTAGCTATATGGCCTAGGTATCTGTAAATATATTTCAAGTCTGAATCATTATTCTGGCAGCTTGGGGTCAGGAGGAAAAAAGAGTATCCTACTACACTCTGTAGTGGATTCTAAAGATTGAAGATTAGTTTTGTTTTTTTTTGTTTTGTTTTGCCTATGAATTATAGCATATAACCAGATACACAGATGCACTGAGGGAACACAGCCCTGGGTGGCCTAGGGTAGAATTTGGAAGGCAGCTGCTGTGAGGTGCCAACTGGGTAGAAGTGCCAGGGGGCAGTCTGGAGACATATCCCTCCTCAGGAATGAATGTGGCATTCTATAGAAGGGAAACCAGCAGTGGCAGCAGTTGGAGTGTGGGCATATCAGGAAGGGCCACGATCTTAGAGTCACCAAGTGTCAGGCAGGAGACAGGACACAGCACTGGGCAGAGGAGAGGGACCTGGAAAGAACATGCCTATCCCTTCATGGAAGGAAGGAAAGAAGGAAGAAAGGGAGGGAGGGAGGAAAAAAGAAAGGGAGGGAGAGAGGAAAGAAGGAAGGGAGGGAAGGAAGGGAGGGAGGGAGGAAGGAAGAAAGGGAGGGAAGGGAGGGAGGGAGGGAGGGAGGGAGGGACAGGGTGGGGCTAGAATTCTAGAACCAGTGGGGAAGCAGGTCTGATAGAAAGAGACCATGAGGTTCATAGCTGCAGTAGCCTGTGAAGTTTGAGACCTGGACCCAGGGCACGGAAAGGGTGGTGCACTGGGGGGGGAGGGGAAGCAGCAGCTCAGACAGAATGTCCAGGATAAAGAGCTGCTCATGCAGGAGGGAGGGCAGGCCTAGCAGCCGTACCTGCAAAGACCCAGGAGGAAGGAAGAGGAGCTGGCTTAAAGCACAGCAGGGCGTTGAGCCTCCACCTGCAAGGTAACACACTGAAGGAGCTAGGAGGAGCATGGCCTCCCCTCCCTGCTATAGATGGGTCCTCCTGCACTTCTTCATCCTAGGATCTAGCCTCCTCGCATGGAGGAGGGGCCCACAGGTCAGAAACAGTCCCAGAGGGAGCTGCACACAGCAGAGAACTAGACAGAGAAGGAGGGAATGCCACAAATGATAAATGAGGAACAAACTGTGCTCTTAGCACAGGGGGCAGCGTGGCTGAGGAGAGGGAGGGAGAGTTCAGGTCCTTGGAACAGTTCTCGGAGGCCAGAGTCTTGCTGAGATCACATGATGGGCAGAGACCACCCACTCCAGAAGTTTGAAGCTCGGGTAGACCCAAGAGGCCCAGCAGGCAAGGTGGAGGGCAGAAAGCAGAGATATTTCAAGGGCCTGGGAGAGAAGCACTCAGCAGCTTCGTCAGAGCCCATGTGGTTAAGAGATGCAGAGACAGTTAGAAGTAGAGGGACTCTGGAGAGGAAGAGACTGAGAGACAGGAGAGAAGGAGAAGAGCAACTGGAAAAGGCTGCAGCAGCTATCAGTGGACGGATGTGCCCAGATCCTGTAGCCCAGCAAAGGCGAGACAGGGTGGACTCTGAGGACAGGTAGGGAGAAGTGGAGTCAGGTGAAGATCCCGGGGAGCCCAGCACCCCAGTCCACCTGAAGAAGGATGTGAGGCAGAGGCCATGCACAGCTTCAACTCAGCCACACTGCTGTGCCAGCCAGCAGAAGAAGACCCATGTCTGACGGGATTTTCCTGGAATGCTAACCCCCAGGCATGACACAGCCATAGACCTCAACCCTTAGCAGCTGCGATCAGTAACAGGCCTACTAACATACAGTCATGTGGGAGGGGTCACAAGGCCCTTTTCCTCCCCAAGGTACACACGGAGCTAACAAATGCCGAGGAGATGCTCCTTGGAGGGACAGCTGCCCAGGAAACTGCCATGCTCTGTTAGTCATCCCAGAACTAGTTCTGGATGGCACCATTTCCTGGGTCTGTTGTTGGTGCCATATGTGGGATGAATAGATGACATTAGTCATGTCTCCCAGAAAATGTTAACTCATGAGAAAGTAGAGGTTTCCAGTACCTTCAGAAGTCCTGAGACTTGTAGACTGCACAGTCACTGCCCACATCCCACTCCATTCTCTGGAAGAAGTAGACCATGATGCTCTCCAGCAACAAGCCGCTCAGCACGGCCAACAGAGACAGCCTGCGGTTGGTGTTCAGGGTCACTAGAAAACAAAGGCAGCAAATGTCCTAACAACTCCTGTGACATGACAGGGCCTGGGAGATGCATGGCGGTGAGAAACGCTGCATGACGCTCACCTGAGGAACCCCACCCTGCTCCTTAGTCGACACTGTCCTGAGCTAAAGTCCCTGCTCGAACACAAACAGCCTGCTCTTCTCAAGCAGAAAGGCCATGAAATAAAGAGAAAATAAAGCAGGCTGTGGTGGTCCTGCCTGTAACCCCAGCTCTTGCAAGCTTCATACAGACGGACTGCCATGAGTTTAAGGGCAGCCTGGGCTACATAGGGAGACTGTCTCAAAACAACCACCACCATCCAACTGAAGGCTTAAAGAGACTAACAGAAAGGAATTTTCACTTGCAGCACCACAGTTCAGGAAGAGCCTGACAAGAAGGTCAGGCAGCAGCTTCATTCACAACAACACTTTCATTGTGGTGCCTGAAAGACCCATCTGGCAGGCAGAAACTGTCTTCGCATGGGAGGCAGGTACCTGGCATTTTCTCTTGGCCAGACAACTGCTCAGTCTCGTAACTTTGGACAAGCCACTCACCCTCACAGCCCCTTAAAGCCATTGATAAAGCACAGGTAACAGAAGGCTGCTGCCTAGCCTCCAGGAAAGACACTGTGGGTGAATGCGCTTTAAGACTCACGGCACACAGGCTGAGCTGAACGATCCCAGTGTCTGCTGCGCAGGGCACTGCTGACATGCGCAGAGCCAGCATGAGTCTGGGAGCACCCTGTTCGGAAGGCCCCACTCACCTCGGATGGCCTGGAAGTTGGACGTCAGGACGAAGACTTTAATGAGCCTGAGGCACAGCGGGGTGTAGTCGTGCTCCCATATGACGGCTGGGATCAGCAGGAGCTTCCCATAGCTGGACAGCAGCAGCGCCTTCAGCAGCAGGACAAGGTCGGGTGCTCTCTTTGCGGTCATGGGTTGCTCTACCCACAGGAACGCAAAAATGCCAGTAAAAAAGGCAGCTTGTTCTATGGAGCAAATGAGAGAAACACAGATACCTCACTCAAATGTAACCCTGAAAACCAAGAATCCCAATTCCAACAAAGAACTCGGCCGATGTCACAAAAATCACCTTAACAACATCATTTTCTTACACATGTGCACACAAGCATGCACACACACAAAGGTTTTGTGTTAAATCATGCTGGCATGACGTAAGAGACATATTTCAATAGGTTTTATAGTTTTTTTTCTCCTTTTGGGTGGGGTGAGGGCTGGTGCCATGCTTCCATGCCGAGGTTGGTCTTAACCTTTGGGGCTTACTGCACCTCAGAGTTCCAGGATTACATCTGAGATTATCAGTATCAGCCACCAATCCTGAGAAAGCTTTAAAGCCTGAAACTACATTTTAGCTCTTGCATTGGGCAATATGCTTGAGTATTTTTTAATGTTTATTTTATTGTTAACTATCTGTGCCTGCCTGTGTGTGTGTATACACGAGTACCACTGTGTGGAGGTCAGGGCTAGGGCATCCAACCCCTTGAGGCTGGACTTTCAGTAGCTGAGTCAGCCAGTGTGGGTGCTGGTCAGCACCTGCCCCTGACTGCTGAGCCCTCTCCAGCCCACCTGAGTGTTTCCTTAATATTACAGTCCTCAAGATACACACGGTGACAAACCTGCACTGTGCATGTCAGGTTTTAGCTAGACAGACAATAAAAAACATCAAGTTTTTTAAAGCTGCAACAGAGTCTCAGTGATAGCTTAATTATGGACTGAATGTGTATCACGTTACTAAAACAGTCTTAAGCTCAAGTACGCAGGTCACAAGCCATCCTTGCTTCTAAGCTCTGAGGGTGAGAACATCAGTGTTTTTGTTTTGTTTTGTTTTTCATTGATGTGTCTCCAGTGTCTACTACACAGACACCAAATAGTCCTTCAGTAACCCAGCAGTGCTGGATGCTGAAACGGCGAGTGAGCAACCCCAGGCTGACCATGGACATGGTCATGCTGGAAAGTAAGTCTGTCTGCAAGCAACCCTTCATTCAGCCCCCGACAAATGCCTACTGAGCAGCCACAACAGGCCAAACATTCACTGGGCTTAACCTAAGTGCGTGAGGGCAAATCAGTAGTCATAATAACCACAGCACTTGTATTCATGAGATGGTGTGCACCTAAAGAAAGGTACAGCAGAGCAAGACACAAAGTAGGGTTGTCAGGAGAAGTGTCACTAAGATGAGATTGAAACCAAGACCCCGGGGACACAAAGTCAGACATGGGGACACCATGGACAAGCACCGGAGCAAAGGGAAAAACCAGTCCAAAGGCTGGAGGCTCACTGAATGCGCCTGAAGCATGGCTGAGACAGGGCTAGAGCAGCAGCAGTAAGCGCCTTGAGATCAACGGGGAGGAGGGGCTTATCACAATGCAAAGACCTCTGTCACTGCACAGGAAGCAGGAAAGAGCTACTACAGATCCAAATGGGCACTGTACTTCTCAGAAAGGGAACCTTGGGGAACAGTGCCAGGCCTGAGGCACATGTTACTCTCTACCTTGTATAAAGTCCCAGCCAGACACGGAGGCAGGGTAAAGCTTTTCTGAAGGTGAAATGAGCAAGGCTTTCGGTAACTGAACAGAGGGCTCCAAAGAGAGAGAGGTTCAGGCAGGACATTAAGGCCTTTAGTTTTAGCAACCTGCAGTGAGAGGCTGAGGGCAGAGGCAGAGCAGGAGCAGGCTCAGAGATGGCAACTTTCTAGCTGTCCAGAAGGGCCGCTAAGAAGCAGGTGGAGAGCTTGACTACTGCCTGCTCTGAGCTTCCTCCCACGCTTTTGAGATCCAGGTCACCTTGCCAGAATGTCTCAGGCTGATTTTGACAAAGCTTCTGAGGAGGTGAAGTACCTCAAAACTCAGCCACGTGACGAAGACATGCTATTCATCTCCAGCCACTTCAAACAAGCCACCACGGACAATAAAAATACAGAGCATTCTGGGCTGATGGACCTCAAAGGCAAAGCCAAGCGGGATTCGTGGAGTAAGCTAAAGGAACTTCCAAGGGAAATGCTGTGAAAGCCTTTGTGGAGAAAGTAGAAGAGTTAAAGAAGAAACACAGAGATAAAAGACCAGATTTGGTTGCCAGCCACATGTGTGACCTATGAGGACATAATTGTTTTTTTTTTTTTTTTTTTCTAATGTAGATGATTTGGCTCTGATAAATTAGGGCCAGAACTAATCATTGCTCTTTCTCCCTACAGTTTTTACCTGAAATCAATTAAAAGTACATTTGTTATTCAAAAAAAAGAGGAGGAGGAGGAAGAAGAAGAGGAGGAGGTAGGTAGACACAGGGTCCAGAGGTCAGGAGAAAGGTCTAGGTCAGATGTGGATATCTGGAGCTATGAGAAGATGGATGAATGAGACACAAGGGAGGAGAGGGGCAATGGCAGAGAAGAAGAGAGGACACATGGTCCAGAATATGATGTGGAAGGCATCACACTTGAAGAACTCCTAAAACAGTGCTTTGTGACTAACTGAAGGGCTATTTTTATTTTTGAGATGGAGTCTCACTGTGTTGCCAAGACTAGACTCAAAGCTTCTAGATTCTAGCAATCCTTCTGCCTCAGCCTCCAGAGCAGCTGGGAGTACAGATGTGTGCCATAGCCTGGCTTAAGTCAAAGGCTTCTGAGGCAGAAAGGATGAAAACTGGAAATCAAGCTGTCACAGAAACTAATCCAATGCAACTCTGGAGAGAAAGCCACGGATTTTAATTTCAATGGAAGGTGCTTCCAAACACAGGGAAGTATGGGAAGTCCTTGTTCGCAGCCCCACAGCAGCAAGCTTCCTGTAGACATCCTCACGATGCAGCCAGCCTAACACTCTGGGGAATGCCAGGCAGGTATCAGTGTGCTTTCAAATGACAGGACTGACTCAATCTTCAAGGCGGACAGTAAGAACTTAAAAATGTTTAAAGCATTTTACAAAATGTTCATGTATTAAGGCAAAGCAAGCAGGTGACTCGGACAAACTCACCAGGCAGTTAGTGGCTGAGCTGAAATATGGTCTCCAGTCCGGTATTACCAGCTGTCTCACCGTGTGTCTTGGCTTTAACCAGAATTGTGAGGTGCTAGTTAGCAAAACACAGCATCAGCTTACCGAAAGAAGCAACCACGAACATCCTGTAGAAGTCCCACTCCTTGGCGTACCGGATCAAGTCATCGGGGGCTATGCTCTGGCTGGAGTCCTGCAGCTGCCACCACCTCAGGTATGCTTCACAAAGCAAACAAAACATGCAGAGTTTCCCATGGATCTGACAGCCAAACACAGTGTCACCGGGTCAGGGAAAGCAGCAGGCGGCTCACTGCTCGCCAACAGGCGCACCGCAGCATGCACACGTGTACGGTTTACTCTGGTTTTGAGGTAGGGTCTTGCTTTGCAGCCAAGGCCTCTGGCCTCAGCCTTCCAAGTCCTCGGACTATAAATGTGCAGCACTTTCCACTTGGAAGTGGTACTGAGAATGCCCCGTGCAGATACTCCGAGCTTTTTAACTGGCCAATTCCATTCTTCTGTCACTGACAAGTTCTGAAGTAGCAGTGTCTACCGGAGCTCCACGTGGGAATTACGAGCTTGAACCAGCCGAGGACCCAGTCTGGAGTCAGATTTTTAGGAATAAAAGCTGGGTAGGTGTATTCTGCAGCAATTCCTGGTTGGCCCTAGTGTGCATCCCAGCCAGGAATCACTGCTTTTAACAGTTCACCTTTATCATATTTTTAACGCCCATCCCCACACATAGCCAAATACACTGATGTGACTTACACAGGGGGGAACAGTCAGAAGACAATCAATTTAACCTTAAGGGATCTTGTTTTCTGTTTTTGGTTTTCTCCAGACAGGATTTCTCTGTGTGGCCCTGGCTGTTTCGGAACTCACTGTAGACCAGGCTGGCCTTGGATTCAAAGAGCCACCTGCCTCTGCCCTTGGCGTTGGAGTTAAAGGTGTGCGCCACCACCTCCAGCTAACCTAAAGATTACAGTACACTACATTAACTATTAGTCTGAACAGCAATTAAAAAAAAGCTTCTGGGCTGAATGAGTATTAGGTCAATGAAAAAGAAAAAGCTATACAGTGAAAATAAGTTGAAAGCTCTTAAGATGCTAATTTTTTAAATCAATTTTACCATTTTCCCCAATCCTGCAAACTGAGCTGTCCATATTAGCTCACAGTAGGTATGTATGCTTGTTGTAGACATAACAACAAGCAACCTAACCCAACCTAACAGACTCAGGTTCTGAGGCTCCTCAGCTGGCATACAGTCCTCTGGTGGCACTCTGGAAACATCAGGGGAAGGACAGTAAAAAACTCAAAGACGCTAACTGAGCTAGTCTGGGGAGGTCTCCCACACCCCAGGACATCTTCAGTGTGTAAGCAAGCTTGGAAATCGACACTCCTCACTCAAGGCCTTGATTATTTAAGGAGCAGAGCACTGCACTGTCCACTTCTGCCCAAATTTAGGAATGCCACATTAATGTTTGCTTCCTAAATCCAGGTATAACTTTCTTCTATTGAGTGCTGGATTTTTGACTGTCAAATTAATTAATTAAAAATACCTAGGGTGACATTCTGTTGGTAGTTTGGGGAAACAGACCTTCCACTTTAGACCATGGCCAAGTCTGTCTATAATTTTTGGAGGTTCTTGGCGCTGGTGACTGCTGCTGTGACTTACTTAAAGCCTTGGTTAGCCACATCTTAGCACTATGCCAAGGTGGAGCTGGTTCGCCCAACTCCCTACAGCTATTCAAAAGATTCAAAGGGTGAAAAAGTAATTCAAAGTCCTAAAGTCGGTAGCTTCAAACAGCTTACAGTTAAGGAAGCTGTGCTGAATGGTTTGGCGGCCACTGAGGTGAGAATGTGGTTTTATATTGGAGAGATCACGGCAATCTTGGCATCACAGGCCATAATGTTTGAAGCCCAATCTTTGACATCTGATTGTATTTGAGTTCTTATTTTAATGTTCTTAGATCAGCTGTAATGAGACTGCGAATCTGAATAAAATACTGTTGGAAAAACAAAACAAAATAAACTACCTCTGTGTTAGGGTGTTTGCAAACAGGACTAACAAGCTAAGAGGGAAGACTGGCTATGGACAGCAGTCCACCACAGGCTGGGTCCCTGGCCAGGGAAGAGGGGGGAACAGACGCCAGCTGAACCCTGGCTGGGCCCCACTTGCCTCACCCTCATTGGCATGCTGTGCCCCATCACACGGACTCACTGTGAGCCAACCTGAAGCTGCTTCCTCTCAGGTGTTAGGTCACAGCAATGAGCTAAGAAAATATACACCTACCCAGAGATACTTAGTTTTCTTCTGCACAAACTCAGCATTTTAAGAAGTAACCCGCTACAGGCAATCCAGACTACAGCTGTCTGCTTCTTGCTGTGACCACATCCTCCCCTGAACACAGTCACTAAGCACTGATACTCTTTTAAATTTGTATCAGCCACTTCTAGAATGCTTCCAGACATGATGAGAGGGGGATTTCCCACAGTTAGAACTGTTACATATTCTTTAATTCTGTTTGAAACTGTTATTATTCCTTTTAAACACAAAAGCATCAAGTAACATTAATTTTTTTTTTTTTTTTAAACCAAGGTTGCAAAGAGGGCTTGGCAGTTAAGAGGGTATATTGTTTTTACAGAGACGAGAATTATGTTCCCAAAAGCCATGACTGGAGGCACACAACTACCTGTAAGTCCATCTCCAGCTTCCACAGCACCTGCAATCAAGTGCATATATATCCTCCTTCAACAACACATAAATTCAAGAAATTAAAATGCCATAACTTACATTTAGTTTAGTGTTGAAAAGAATATGCCTATAGGCCTGAGCTTTGCATAAAATGGCATTAATCAAGATAATAACAGGATCATACTCAATATATTTGTCTACTGGTTTCTGGCAGGATTTCTGAAAAAAAAAAATACAAAATAAAATTAGAGCAAACAAATTAATACATTCTGAAAAAAATTAAAAACTGGAGGCTGTTTTGGACTTTCCCAGCAACAAGGTATACCAGCATCTATTTAAAATCCGCAGATTTAAGAAGTTCACCCATGTAGGAAATGCCTTCTAAGTACAGACTAAGTACAGACTTCTAACTAGAAATACGAATTATTTTAAATTTATATCAAGAATCTAAAAGGAAAGCCAAACGTGCTAACACATAACTAACCCCAGCATTTGAGACACAGAGGTAAGAGGACCCTGAGTTTAAAGTCAGCAAGTGCTGAACAGGGAGATCCTGCCTCTAAAAACAAAACAGAAAGAACTCAGATTTAGACACCCACTCCAGGCACAAAAGTATTTTAGAAGATCCTACTTTCAACTCCACTTTGGTTTGCATGATTTCTTAAAGCGAAACTCTGATGCACTCTGGCTGCCAGGCTGTGGCAGAGCCTGTGGCTCAGGACCTGGAGGAAGGTGTTCAATGGGGTTCCTACCTCCTAGCTCTGACAGCGACTGGTGGACACAGTCAGCGTAATCAGCAATCCTGAGCCTGGGCTTTTCTCCAGTGAGATCAAGAACCTGGAGAGAAAATGTCTTTCTCTGCTACCACGGACACAGTGGACAGTGCTATTCTGTGTGCATTTATGTCACCCAACGCTAGACTCCCTAAGCTTCCACAGTGGCCTCCCCTCAGGCTCCTATCTGTGAGGAGAAGTTAGAACCGGGCTATTTAATCACATCCAATCACAGGTTGCTAGGCAACCATTGGACATAGACACAGTATTAGTTTCAAAGTTGCACCAATGCTACCATTCATTGCGATAACTGAGTGGCTGCAATTCTGAGAGACTGACAGGTAAAACAGAAACAGAAATAACAGGCACACATACATACCAGGATCACCTTTCAGTTACATCAAAACCTAAAAAAAAGGTCAAGTGTATTGGAGAATTGCAACCTCGTACTTAAACATAACAAAACACATTCGCTTTCACCTGGGAAGAGATTCTCCACTTCATTCATACCATTGTAAGAAACACCATGCTTTTCCAGTTCCCAGGTGAACCAGCAGTTGTGTTATTCCTGGAATGCCAATCTAGCTGTCAAAATGGACATACAGATGTTCACATTTTCTGTTACCTGATCAAAGAGTGAGTTAACGAGTAGCCACACTCAGAAATCAAGCCCAGGACGATGGCTCCTTCCCAGATTTCCCTTTTTTCACCACTCCAGGGCTCATCTCCTCCCCTCATGTATGAGGTTCAAGCCAGGAGATGCAACATTAGTGTTCAAAGAAACCATTAAGTTGGTAAGTCCCTCTCTCCGTCTATCTAAACCCCACTTTCACACAGCACCCCAAATGTAAGATTAGGAGATAGACAACTTTTGGAAGCAGGAGGGGAAAGACCAGTATCAGGAAACACAGAGCTCCTATCCCTTCTGTACCGTTTGCACAGATGGCTGTGCAGTGGGTGTTCTAAGGTAACAAGAGCACTCCTTCCTCGACGCTGTTCTCTACTACCCTCAGGGCCCTGCCTTCTGAAGACTGTTACATGAGGTGATGCTGGTGAGCTGCTAGGACCAGGCGGCGTGCTGTGTGCGGTCCATCACTTGTAGCGCCTGACACACAGGGAGTTCACTGTCAGCCACTGTCTCCATCAGTAGGACCTGCTTTCTCTTCCATCAGCACCCCTCTCCACTGTATCCTCCTGCTTCCACTGTGAACACAAGGAGGAAACACACGCGCACACACACACTGGCAGCAGATCAACTAACTGGAAGTTTACTACTTTTAGTAAAAAAAAAAAAAAGAGAGAGGAAGGAGTAAAGATAGATAGATAGATAGATAGATAGATAGATAGATAGATAGAGGGTCTCTAAGCCTCAAAATCAATGGAAAGGGGACTGGAGAAATAAATGGCTCTGTGGTTCAGAACACCTGAGGTTTCTGCAGGGCACTTGGGTTTAGCTTTCACACAGGCCCGTGGTTTTGAACTTCTGGTCCTCTTGCCTCCACCTCCCAACTGCAGGGATTACAGGTGTGTGCCACCATGCCTCGAGGGTTCACATGGTGAGGGATGTCAGGCAAGCACCCTAGCAACCGAGGAACATTCCTGACCGTAGTAAATGTTTTCTATTTGGTTAAATTGCTGCATCATTTATTATTTAATTGACAAGTACCCTGAGAAGGCAGTTTTCTTCTAAGAAATCTCTACAGTGCCGGATCTCAAACATTGCTTCCATCTCCTCAGGCTCAACACGAGAATGACAGGCTTCTTGCCACAATGACTATTTCCTAAGTGAATGACATCTCTTCCCATCACTCATTATTCGTTTGAGGCAGGGTCTCTCCCTCTCTCTTTAGGTAACCAAGGCTGGCATCCAATTCGTGATCTTCCTGCCTGGCGTGCGAGTAAAGTGCTGGAGTCACAGCAATGCGCCAGCACTCCCGGGTGTCATAAGTCTTGGGACATCAGTGGCCTGCCTCTTGTTTCTCTTTCTCACCATCAAAATGACCACTCCTCCCCTACGTGCTCAAGGACTCGCGCCCCGGACGACAAAGCGTTCGGGTCCGCCTTCTTAGCCGCGCCCCGGCCCGCCCCGCCCCGGCGCGCTCACACAGATGGTTATCTTGAGCACGCCGTGGCTGTAGTCCCGGTACAGCTCCCGGGCCTCCCGGTTGCACTCGATACAACGGTACAGACAAGGGGAGGAGGCCGCCGCCGCCGCCGCCGCGCCCTCGGTGCCCTTCCCGGACCGCGAACTCCTGCGCCCGCCCGTCCCCATGGCCACTCTAGGCTCCTACTTCCGGTTCCCGGCGGAAGTCGCTTGACTAGGACTCGAAAGGCTCACCAAGGGCCTCACTGGGACTTGTAGTCCGTATGCCGGACACGCACGTGAGGCTAACCGGCCGCGGACTACGACTCCCGGCGAGTACTGCGGCCGCGCTCCGCGCCCACCTGCCCGCGTTGGGCCGAGCACGGCCGCGCCTGCGCCGTGCGGGAAGATGGCACCTGCCGGCCGCGGCTGCGGCTGCTGGGGCTGCTTGGGCGCTGGGGTGGTGCGGCTACTGCAGCTGCTGCTGCTACTGGGGGCGCTGGCCTGCGCGCGGGCCACGGAGCACTACTCTCCGCTGTCCTTGCTGAAGCAGGAGCTTCAGCACCGGCAGCAGCAGGAGGCCCCGGCGGGCGGCGGCTGCCCGCAGTCGGGGGACTGGGCGGACCAGTACCCGGAGTGCGGTGAGTGGGCCAAGCCGCCCTCTCCCTGCGGCCGCCCCTGCCCAGCGTGGAGGCGCCTGGGAGGTGGGGAGAGCGGGCATGGGTTTAGGCGGGCGGCGGGGACTGGGACCCGCCCCGAGGGTGCCTGCTGGCGTGCGCGGGTCAGGAATTCTGACTTCCTTTCTGCCTGCCCGGAATGGAGTCTTGGGCTCAGTCCCCACCCCAAGAATCCTATCCTGAGAGATGCAAGCCTTTTGGATCTGCGGGGTGACATCAGCACTGGCCCGTCCCCCTCAGATGTACCCCTAAGGGTGGAGAGCCTCAAGTCTGAATCCTGCGTGCGTTCCAGCGGCTCAGGCTCATTCATTGAAGGCAGACGTTGTAGGCCTGTAGAATAAGTCGTGGAAGACGAACTCTGGGCAGAACACACATACTCTTTTTCCGTTTCGAGTTGGAGAATGGTCTTTTTTTTTTTTTAAACCCATCAGTACCCTCTCCGCCGTGCCTTCCCCTCACCCTATGACTTGCCTTGGGAAAGTTCTGGGTCTTCCATACCTACCAGCAGTTGGCTGATGCCTTTTTAGACATCCCACTGGTGTTCAGCCCAGCCGCTACCTAATTTCTTAGCCCAAATTAGCCCAATCTGATTTCCTTTGAGCACCGTCTGGCTTCTTGGAGAAAGTCTCAGTCACCGAGAGTGACTTTTGTGACTTATTTTGTGCTCAGCCTTGGCTACCCACTGTGGCTGATGCGGCCAGCATTCCTTATTGAAACGAACCGCCACTGTTAATGTCACCTGATTCTGAGCAAGGGAGTTACCTCTCTGTGAACTTGTCTGTAAATTGGAGACTCTGTTTCCTTGAGTATGAAGTTTTGTTTTCCTCATTTAGTCTTGTTTGGCAGCTTAATTTACCATAAAAACAGTAGCCACTGTCTTGAATGGCAGCTCCTTATTCAGAAGGGAAAACTAAGGCACAATGAAAAGGCTAGCCCCAAAGGTCTCAGCTGTAGAAGGAAGAACAAAGTACAGGTAGCGGGTGCCTTTGTTTTTGTTTTTGGGAAAGGGTCTTTCTTAGCCCAGGCTGGCTTCGAACTTCCGTTTACCATGATCCTTCTGCTAAGCTCCCAAGTGCTGGGATTACAAATGTGACCTACCATGCTCAATTTTGCAAACA